AAAAAAAAAAAAACAAACTTTTTTTCCCTTAACTAACTGTAGGTTAGTGTTAGAACAGTACAACATTACACTGCTCTGTTGACTACTTATGCATGGATTGTGCTTAAATCTTCAACTGCAATCCAGACCTCTAGCCAAGGAGAACAGAAAGCCCTTCTTAAAGATTTTGGATGCTGGTATGCAAGTGGCTTTTGGACTTGCGTTGAAGAATTGATTTAAATTGATTTAAATACTAGCATTGTAATTCAGAGCAATATTATTTGTACTGAAGTGACAGTGCAGTGATTTAATCTGTACTGCTTGCAGTCTCCGGGCAGCTTTGTGTAATTCTTATTAACCTAATGAATTATTTTTCTGAACAGACAGACATAATTAAGACTACTTATTTGCCTTCTGTAACCTTCCAAGGTTTTTTGTTTTTGTTTTGCAACAATAAGTTTAAAATCTCTTAAATCCTAAACAATTCTAGTCAAGTATCTTATTTACTGTTTAGCATTTGATTTTGGTTATTTTTCCATTGCCATACGTAGTGATCTGTGAAGTTAATTGTTTACTAAATGAGGAGGTGCTTTTCATGGTATGGCAATTTTAGCACTGTCATTGCTTTTTCTTCATTCAGAACTTAACCTCTGTATATCTGTCTGTAAACCTCTGTATATCTGTTTTTCAACTTCTGAACTTGAGACAATCCTCCCTAGTAAGGTCATTTTGTTCAGCTGAATTTGTCTTGTCAGTGTTTGAGGCCTCTCCTTGTTTGAGGATAAAAATGCTTAAATTGGGAGTTTATGCCAAAACAGAGAATAAAACAAAAAACATCTAATCTGATAGCATGAAAGGTCCATAGCACAGCTTCATTCCCACTGAATAAGGTGGGTGGCAGTTTGTGCCTGTTCAGGACCTGGGAATATGTTTAGTTTGTTGGGATTCTGGCTGTGCTCACAAGGCAGGAGCGCCGTGTCTTGCTGTTCCTTCATTCTTCAAGCTGTCTTTCCAGTATGACCAC